GGGGGGGAGGGGGTAATGTACAGCTAGCAAGAAGCTCCCGCCAGCTGTCTTTGATCGTTTATGCGGTCATGGCTTCCACGCCATGGATGGATGGATGGATGGGCTTGGATACCCACCCCACATGAGACTGGTAGCGGTCTGTCTCTCTGTGGCGTGCCTCTTCGTTTTGAGACATCCATAATCAATCGGTTGGCGGACTTGCAAACGCATCCGGCCATCGAACCGATTTGTCAGTCGTATGGGCTCCACAGATATTTGGCCCACGATTGCTCGGGAGACACGGGGCTGCAGCTGCACGTCTGTACCGCCCTTGCACTCGCCCGCAGCCAGGCACTTGTCCGCCTTCCTCCCTCCCGTGGTCGTCAAAGCCGCCGGTCAGGACGCACACCTTGCCGGTGGACTGGACTTTTTGCAGCCGTCTGGTATGCCTCGGACGAGAGAGACATCGGTGTGAATGATTGATTGACTGCAGCTTAGCTTCGGCGTTCGTTTAGTTCGCGACTAAAACCAAAACGTACGTGTCCATTTCTGTGTCTGTATGTGTGTGTGTGTGTGTCCTTCGCCTAGTTGCAGCTTCGAGTCCGTCTCTCTCTCAAGAAAAAAAGAAAAGAAAAAAGTACCGAAACGTATGTATCAATTTCAGTGTCTGTCTGGTCTGTCTGGTCGGTCGGTCTGTATTCTCTCTGCTCGGCTGCCTGTCCAGCTGCCTTAGGATCAGATCGTCGATTTCTCGCACGTTCCTTTGAAAAAGCTCGTGGCATAGGACAGGAGACTTGAGCAGAGAAACGGGTCCCGGCACTGGTGAGCCTTGTCGCACACCTCGTCCAACTCCGCTTCCAGCTGCACCCCCACACACGTATGTACGCGAGCGAGCGTGTCTGGCTGCACATTCGGTCCGTGCTTGGCCTTCTCCTTCTTGAAGCACTTCGGCTTCTGGTACTTGGCCACGAGGGGAGGCGTGTAGCAGTCGTGGTCCTTGATGCACTTCTTCCCCCAGCTCTTCTTGTTTGAGCCGGCCGTTGGCAGCAGGCTGGCCAGTTCCGTGCCCAGCTGCGTCACCTCGTTGTCCTGCTCGACCGTCGGCTCTCCCTCGAGGGGTCTGCACTGCTTGAAGTGGCCGTATCCAGGCATGGAGACACAGGCACACACGCGCTTGCCCTCTCGGCCGCAGTAGCCGTACTCGGGCAGGCTGGGGCGGCCCACGTGGGAAACCCTTGGGATCAGCTGGAACCAGTAATCGATCCCGCAGAAGGCCTCCCGCCCAGCAGGGGTCCTGCCTTCAGGAAAGTTGGTGATGATGTCTTTCAGCTTCGCTCCGGCCATCGTCTTGCCAGGGTCCAGCCTGAAATCACACACACGTGAGTAGAGATGTGAGTATGCATGGTCAGTACGAAAGAGGAGGTCAAATGGTGTACCAGAGGAAGGTCAGGGTCTCGGGAATGTTTTCCCCCTTCTCTGCCATGATTGACCGGGCGTCCTTGTCCATGATTTCCTGCCACTGTGACAGCGTTTCGTTGGGAAACACGCAGGGGGACTCGGCGCTTAACTCGAGCCCGCCATGGCCACTGGGCAGCGTGGCGGCCAGCGAGCGATGCGGCGAGACTCCGGCTGGATCATCCACACACATGAGACGGGGCTTCCTCACGACGTCTCTTGTGCACGGCCCATCGCTCACCGGTGTGATTCAGTGCCGCGGCACCGGAGGGGACGGCAAGGAGCGCCACAAGCTGCAGAAGCGGCAACATTGTCATTGCAAACCGCCTGACATGCATCCCCGTCTCGTGCAGTGGCGTGTGGGTGCACCTACCGAGGCAGCCGGCAGGAGAAGGCTCATCATGATGCTTGAACAAGCACGGGCAACCAAAAGACAGGAAACTTGAAGGCAATCCTCAGACTTCGAGACGGTTGGTTGGTTGGTTAGTGTGTTGAACGAGACTCGTGTCTGTAACCCCAGAGGGATCCTGTTGTCTCACGCACTAAACTAGCAGCATGTACATGCAAAGCATGCACACGGCCTGTCTACCCCTCCCTGCACTGGCACCGGCGGACAAACAGATGGCAGCAGAGAGCACTGGCTGCCTTGTAGAACGTTGACAAACACCGATTCCGGCTACATACACAAGAACGGGCGCTGTCGCCCAGCAAGAGCCATGGCAAGTGTACAGAAGCCAGAAGGGGGAAGTGGAAAAATGAGCGCTCTCTGAGCCACCAAAGCAACAATTAGCCAATCACATGATGAATACACCACCATATACACACGGGACCCATACGGAAGGAAGACAGGAAGACAGCAGAGGGAGAGAGAAGGAAATAGCCAGGCAGGCCGTGAGGCCCTGCAACATATGATAGACGATACCTAAGGTGCACTCCATCCCTTCACACAGCACTGAGTATGATGCCACAGTGGCGCCTGTCTACTTGTACGGTAGTGAGCTGTGGGCGGGCACTAACTGTGATGCAGTACGGTGTGATCTAAGTCGATAGGCACTTGGCAGACACATGCACAGGAAGTCCTGGCTGGGCTGGCAGAGGAAGACAGAAGGCAGCTAAAGGGGAGAGCCCCGCCGCGGTAATGAGCAAACAGACAGACATGCGGCACTGGCGGTGGGGGCGCCCTGGAGACCTTCGGAGGCGTCCGTAAAACAGTAAGTGCGAGTGTTTAGGAATTTGTGAAACCGGAAGGGATTGCCATAATTCTTTCGACATGCGAACGGCATCAGAAGGGATCCGAAGAGATCCTTCTTTCCTTCGGATCCTTCTTTTCCGCGGTGGAAGACGCCACCAGCGAGTGGACCGTTTCCTCGATAGATCCTTGATGAGGAACGCATCATGAGCAGCATGGCTAACCATGGGCGTGAGTCAGCAGGTACTAGAGAGGAGAGGAACGGCGTTGACAGCGATGACATCGAGCACACCATGGGTGCGCAAGGAAGAGCAAGAGGCACAGACAGACAGACAAGCAGCTAGGGCATGAAATGATTCATGCGTGTGGCCCGCGCGCGGTGTTTGTGCAGGTGCGCTTTGCCTCTCTGACCACCAGCAGCAGCGGCAGCACGAGGAGCGTCCTCCTCCCGCGAGTGTGGACATCGACCGTCAGGATCCTGACGAGAACGACTGGGACATCAACACAGAGCAGAGGAGAATCGAAGACCAATGGAAGGTCCGTCCGTTCACACCCACTAGTGCCCATTGCATCTGCCTGTGTGAGTCGATAAGCGAGGGGCGTGTGTGTGTGTGGTTGTGTTGTGTTGTGTTGTGTTGTGCAGGCCCGTCTTGAGTCGATTGACGATGCGTATGCGCGGCTGCTGACAGTGAAGCGGACGGTGTGGAAGTCCGAGCACACGCAGCGGGTGTACGACCTCAGATACAGAGATCGAGACAACCCCGCACTGCACGCACACAAAGAGTGAGCGAGCGAGCGGCGGTCACGCAGACACACACGGACAGACACGTTCACACGGATGGATGGATGGATGTGTGGATGGATGGATGTGTCCGCAGGTCGACAACGGTTGACGGCTATCGGTCCAACTTCACCGACCACCTGCAGACGCTCATGCCGGACGGGGCGAGAGCGCTCCCCAGAGGCGCCAGAGTGCTCGACTTGGGCGCAGGTGCGTACCGTACGTTACCTGGCGGACACATGGGCACCCACCCATCGATGTGCAGCTAGCAAAGGATGGATACGCCCGTGTATTGTATGTGTGTGTGTGTGTAATTAGCACCCGGCGGGACGAGCAAGTTCTTCTGTGAGGACTGCGACTGCGATGTGTTGGGGGTGACCATAGAGACCGACAGGAAGGGCTTCAAGATGCTCTACAGGTGAGTCCAGGTGAGTGCAGGTCGATCCGATCGAATCGATGGCATACATGTACAGACGTGTGCGTGTGCGTGTGTGCAGCCACCGGAATCTGTTTGTGCTGTTTGATGACTTGGCGCAGGAGATCGACGAGCAGTTCGACCGGTTCTGCGCCAGGCTGGAGGGATTCAGACCTGACGTAAGCACATGCCGGCAGTCAACACCCGCGTCTGTCGTGTGTGTGTGTTCACCAGTGAGTGCGCCTGCAGGTGTTCAGGAGGCGTGGCGAGGTCAAATTCAAGGTCGTGCATTGCGGTAAGTAAGTTGCCATCCGTCCATCCATCCATCCATCCATCTCTGTGTGTGTGTGCCATGCCATGGGTGGTGTAGGTGCGGTGTTGCAGTCGGCCATGGTGAAGCACCTGCTGCACATCGATGACGACGACCCCCAATTTGACGATCTCGTGGGTTGTGTTGATTGAGTGTCCATCTGTCCATCTGTCCATCTGTCGACTCGATGTGTGTGTGCAGGCGCGAGAGCGTCAGAGGATGGCATACAGGACCCGCATGACACTCATGAAGAGGCAGCTGCAGGTACCACACATGGATGGAGGGATGGAGGGATGTGTGTGTGTGTGTGTGTGTGTGAGTGTCTGTGCGCAGCTGGCGCTGCTCTACCTGGAGGAAGGCGGACACCTCATTTGGATCTTCAGACCTGGTCAGTCACACTCACACGTCTTGGAGTGCATTGACGTGAATGTGTCCATCCATCCATCCATCCATTCATGCGTGTGTGTGTGCGTGTAGGTCACAAGGAGATCGTCGTGTTGGCTCACCTGCTGCCCCTCTTCACCTCCTTCGCCATCTTCCGCACCAACTTCCTCATCAAGAGCCAAATCAAAATCGCACTCTGTGAGCAATCCGCCCCAACACATACACACCCGTGTGGGTACCCACACACACCTGTGGGTACCTCTCTGTGTGCAGTCGGTTTCCGGCCCTCCCAGCCGCGCACACGGCAGCAGGACGTCACGCCATCCGTAAGCGAGTCGGCCGATGGCTGCCCGCATCAATGTCTGTCCGCACGTGTGCTTGCTGTGCAGGATGGCGAGTATTCTGTGCCGGCTGACTTCCCCTTCCCTGTGCGCAGCAGACGGGAGGCACACAGGCATGTTCACACGCAAAGAAAGCGACACACCAGCCCATCCATCCAGCCGTCCATGGCATGGCTGCATCGGTCAGGTGGCTGAAGAGCATGCGGTGTGACGTTGACGGCTACCCTGAGGACTTCGACACTGACAAGACACGGGTCAGCGTACAGAGACACACATGGGAACAAGGGACTATCCATCCATTCATCTCTCTCGTGTGCGGGTCTGCAGGACCTTGCCGAGCGTGTGTACCGGTGTATATTGCAGCCCCATGTGACGCCGCTCTTCGCTGAGCAATGCAGGTTCCTCGAGTGGATTGAAGAGGAGGCGACAAAGGTATGTATTTCTGGCCACGGCTGTGTGCGTATGTGTATGTGTGTGTATGTGTCTGAGTGTGTGCGTGTGTGTAGGGTAGCGGTGACGAGGAGCGTCTGTATCAGCTGGCGCTGCTGCTGATAGCCTGCCCCAAGAAGGAGACTTACATGAATCCATCATGACACCTCACCTGCCCACGTATGCACCGTCGTGTCTTCGTATGGTTCGTGTGTACAGACAGAGACGTGTGATGCAATCGATCGTCCGTCGTGAGTGTATAGTAGCCCGCCGTCTTGGCAGACGGATGGATGGATGGATGCATTCATTCATTCATGTCTTTGTGGACCATCAAGTCACCGATATCGATGAATATAGACCTTCGAAGAACATTGCCGTCAGCGATTCCAATCGTGAAAAAAAACATGTAAGTACACACACATAGGGGCAATGGTCCGGCAAAGGTAAGACCACGGAGACAGTAAGATTGCACGGGGGTGAGGGGCCCCTGAAGCAGTATCGATCAGAACAGGAGAGAGACGTACCATGCAGACAGAGACAGACGGCAAGAGGGAGAAGCTCTGATTCCCAAAAGAGAGCCGTAGGTGTCTGCTGTCGTGGTGTAGTCAGAGGAAGCAGGGTACCGCCTGTTGTATGCATCTGCTCCTCAGTCGCCCTGCGAGCTCCCCTCTCGGCAGGCTTGGCCGCAGAGTGATATCTTCCCCCTCTTTTCTCGGTGGGAGACGTCCCCGTGCACCCAGAAATGGCTCGTACGCACTGTACACACTCTCCAGCTCACGCTGACGCAACGAAAGCAGCCGAACCTGTGTGCAAGGAGGTGAGTGACGGATGCATCTGTGTTACTCTTCCTTTCCGTCAGTATGTGTGTGGCTGACCGACCAATTGTGCATTGACAATGTACCACAGCAGGCAGAGCAAGTGGAGGCCGAAGAGCGCCGCTAAGGCCCAGTCGACAAAGACGAAGAGAGTGAGCACCTTGACCACAATGCAGAGCTTCAGGTCGCCCCATGCCGTCCAGTTGAGAGTGTCGGAGACACGCGTCCCCTGAACACACCCACGCCATTGAGGTTATGCTATTGAAATCCACTTACTTGGTGCATACCTACCTGGCGGAGATCCCAACCAATGAGAAGTTGATTCAGCTCAACAGGGATCAGAGAGTGCCTAATGAGAGAATCCATCGCCGAATGGTGGTCATCATACCTGGTGGTCACACGTACCTCGCAGCGAGAAACACGAGCACAGAGCCAGCCGACAGCCGCACCTTGCCGTTACTTGGCCTTTCGTCCTGAGATTGCGAGTGTGCCCCTGGCTTGTCCGTGTCGCAGGTCGCATCGATGTCGGCGGGAAGCTGGTCGGGATCGACGTGGACTGCGGGCATACTCAGGATGTCGTAGGCGCTGCCGGCTATGGTGCTCAGAAGGGGCAGGAGGATCTGCATGAACGATGTTATATGAGAACTTCATGTGGGCAAACACATCTACCGTCATGTGTACCTGTAGCATCTGGAGGATCGGAGGGATGGCCTGCGATCAACGGGCGCACACGATGATTCAATGGGTGCAGTCAAGTCCGTTGTGTCTCTCTACCTCTATGCTCGCTTACCCACATTCGCATCATGATCTCGTGAATGTAAGAGTCTTCTTCTTCCTCGGGAACCACAGTCCCCTCCACCTTTCCGTCAGTCGTCACAGCCTTGGGACTGAAGAAGCTGGTCCGGCCGCCATGCTCGCTGAGGAAGTGGGTGTGGTCCCGGAAGACGACAAATGTGGCAACATAGGAGTAGAATCGAATTGTCCAGCTGAGAGACACGAGAAGACGGCTCCAGAACCTGCATAAGTAGACAGATCCACTCACTCATTGACACGGAGGAAGCACCGCTGGTTGGCTGGTTGAGTCTCACCCTGCCAGCCCTGTCCACAAGCAAAAGAAGACAACGAACTCGACGCCTCCGATGAACAAACACAGCTGGATTGCAAGCAAGACAGTTGATGCGCAAAAGCAAATGCATACACACAGGAGAGCATAATGGCGACCCACACACAGCGCTCACCTTGAGAAAATCGGGGTAGTTGCGATAGTCCCTAAAGTATACACACACACACAGGGTGGGATATAGACAAGCTTGTGATCGTCGGTCCGGCCTACTGATAGTCGATCGGGATTATCATCGGGTCTTCTTTTTGCGGTGCGTAAAAGGCCACCCAAACCTCGCTCGCGAGTGCCACAAATACACACACCCAGATACGCAACTGAAGCAGTAAGCAGGTAAGCATTCGCCAGTTGAGGTAGCCAGACAGTCAGCAGACAGACAGACTGACCATGTTGAACTCCGATATCTTCAGCTCGTCACACAAAATCTCCGCAAGGCCAAGCCTGACACAGCAGTGATGCGATGAGTGCAAGGCATGTACATACGTACAGACAACCGATTGCCCGCTCGCCCGCGCACCTGCCAGTGTACTTCATCGACAGCTTCAGCCTCGCAAAGCGCAATCCGATGGACGTCCTCGGCAATGGAAACATCACGTACCCCTTCCATTTCCTCTCGCCCTCCCCATCTTCCGTGCCAAATGGAAACATCACACCCACGCCCTTCCTCCTCTTTCTCCTGGCCTCACGCGTCCGCTTGGGCGGCGGCTGCGGCTGTGGTGCGGCGGGCTGAGGCTGCTCACTGTCAACCGCCGCCTCTGCCTCTGCAGGCTGCAAGAGAGGCTCCGGCACTGATGTTGGCTGGGCAGCACTGGTGGCAGACATCAGTGCTCCAGTGTTGTGGATGCGCTTCTCGGCCGCTGGGGCGGCAATGGCATCATCACCTGTTGCTAATGCGGTCTCCTCTGCTGCTGCTGCTTCTTCGTGTCCGTTGGCGCCAAAGGTGACCTCCTTCCTGACCCTCAAGTTGGCGGCTGACGGCCGAAGGATTGACGGTAACGAATGGGCTGACACGGACACCGGAGGGGAAGCGCTGGGGCCTGTACCGGGTGAGACTGCTGCGCTTTCAGGTGAGACCTTGATGCTGAAGTCACGTGCTGCTGCTGCTCCTCCTTGTGGCGCTCGTTGGTCATGGGAGAGCGCAGCAACAGCATCATGCTGACCACCGTCCTCCTCCTCTGGTTGGAAAGACGGTTCTGGGAGGGCTGAAGGAGCTGAAATGTGCCGCCGCCCGTGGACCGGACAGACCGCTGATTCGGCGATTGTGCCTGCCCCCTCTCTACGATGTGGAGGTGCATTGGCCGCCACTGGTGGTGGCAAGTCCAAAGCTTCTGCATTTTGAGGCGACGGGCTGACTGGAGTCGACTTGCTGGTCCTGACGCGGCCGTGGTGGCCTGAAGGTGAAGAAGAAGACTTCACCTCAACGTCCTTGGCCTGCGAGGCACGCAGAGACATGACCTTAGATTTATATCTCTATTTAATCTCTGTAATCTGACCTGCCTACCTCGATTTGCGGTTTTCTCTTGTCCTTCTGTCCATGGCCTTGAGGGTCTGGCTCTTGATCGGTTCTGTCTGAGCCGGTCTCCCTGTGGGCCTGCTGCTTGACCGCTATATTGACCTGCCAAAGTCTGCCCTTGGATAAGCAGGGACCACGATATAAGGGCATTCATGTATCGACCGCCACATTTCACACTCACCTGAACGCCTGGAGCAAGACAAACACCCCGTTCTTGACCATGAATGGGCTGAACTCCACGATGTCGTAGAAGTCGAACCATAACCAGGCTCTCGCGAAGAAGAGGGGGATGTCGACGAAGAAGATCGATACGATGGCCGAGTGCTTCCTCTTGAGGATGACATCACCATAGGGCAGCTCCGTGTCTCCTCTTGCCGCCTCGGGGCCCTCTGTGGCTTCCATCTTGCCTCCGAGGGGCCCTGTGCCCTTTCCCTGGCCAGAAAAGCTGTACGAATGAAAGAAAACCCCTGCAGACCACAGGGGAAAGGGCACAGAGTAGAAAAGATGAGACACGCACAACGAATGGAAAGTACCGAGGAAGATAAAAGCACCGATGGTGTTTCTCATCCAGGGGACTTTCGAATCCACCTGCTCGGGAAGCAGCAGACTGCAGAAGAGACAGCTCAACTACCGTCAGCGAGACATGAGGGAAGTAATCGGCTTGCTTGCACTGACCTGTACTGGAAGGCGGCCTGAACGTGGAGAAAAGACAACGAAGGGACAGGTGAAGGCATGATCATCCTGCCATTGGTGCCGGTCAACTCCCCCCACCGCGATATCCACAAGGTCGAGCACAACGTGGAACATCATGTCTGCGTGCATCATTGTGCTGATGCTGATAACTTTCGACATGGAGCCGAAGAGCTGCTTTATTGACCGCAGCATCATCAGGACATAAATCACCTGAATCGGAAGCCATAAAGGCACATGATTCCCTTCAATCAGAAAAGACAAGGGATTCCATGTTCCCGTACCGGCGTGAGGAGCAGGACTGCGTAGAGGATATTGGGGCCCCAGAAGTTGGTTTCGTCGAGCTTCTCGTTGACCTTGAAGTACCTGGTTACGCACACAGTCAGCCACATGACGACTTAGTGCTTCTCGATGTGTACGCATACAGCAGGATGAGCTTCACGGAGAACATCCAGCTGTAGAAGATCCATATCACTGCCCCCTTCTCGGCTGCCCAACACACACATAGACGTCAAGCCATTTGACTCAACCTCTCCGATGGATTGCGAACGGCGCACCAGCCTTGGAGAGGTCCCAGTTGAGAAGAAACTTGAGCAGTAGGGGGGCGTCCAACAGCACGAACAGAAGGGAGAGCTCCGCCCAGTTGGTGACGAGGTAGAAGTCCAAGACGCCCGTCTGAATGTCGACAATGCAGCAGGTCTCCTCGTGCTGTGTTCGGCTTGTTCGTGAGCCTCTCACCTGCCCACAGTAGCAGAGCACTGTGAGAACGTAGGCCAACCCCCCGACATGACCCATCGCGAGGAAAAGAACTTTTGAAATCCGTGTGGGGGCTTCTGGGGGCGAGGTCGAAGGGAGAGAGGGAGGAAAAGAAGAGTGCAATGGAAGATCAATGGGATAAGGCGAAGTGGTAACGGACAGCGGGCAGCGCCGTCGAGAAGAGACACTTACGCTTCCAATCCTGGCCGCGACCGAATTCTTAAGCGCGCATTATAAATTTGCGTAGGCCATCCCTCTTTTTTGAAGGTTATTGAGGTGTTTTTGCGGAGATCTGAGCGTCTGAGCACCCCCTAAGGCCATCTGCAGCTGACCACAGCCACCCGACAGGCGCATCTCTCTCCATCCCTCCCTCTCTACGCGTGGGCACCTCGCGAAGGCATCTGTTTTGTGTGTGGTGATGTCGGGCAAAGGCAAGGGCGGCCGCGGCAAGACCGCCGAGAAGACCAAGAAGGTCAGCACGGCAGATGGATGGATGGATGGATGGACATCATTTGTGTGATGTGTGGTGTGGTGTGGTGTGGTGTGTTGGCGCCCTTCCTTGGTTGGTTCGTTCTGCAGGTGAGTCAGTCGGTGCGTGCGGGTCTGCAGTTCCCCGTGGCGCGCATCGCCCGCTACCTCAAGAAGGGCCGCTACGCCAAGCAGCTCGGCAGCGGCGCCCCCGTGTACATGGCCGCCGTGCTGGAGTATCTGTGTGCTGAGGTGTTGGAGCTGGCCGGCAATGCCGCCCGCGACCACAAGAAGGTCAGAGAGGGAGATGGGAGGGAGGGAGGGTGGGAGGGAGGGAGGGATATGGGGATGGCGGAGGGGTGTGAGGTGTGGTGTGGTGTGTACGACAGACTCGCATCACGCCCCGCCACCTGCAGCTGGCGATCCGCAACGACGAGGAGCTCAGCAAGATGCTGGGCGACGTGACCATCTCCCAGGGCGGCGTCATGCCCCACATTCACGACGTCCTGCTGCCCAAGAAGTAGGGACACACCACACCACACACAGGGAGATTCATGGGCTGAGGAGACGCACACAAACCGGGGGGTGCCTTCTGCTGTGGTGCGGTGTGTGTGTGTGTGTGTGTATGCAGGTCTAAGGCCAAGGCTAAGAAGGAGGCAGAGGCCGCCAACAACGAGGAATGAACCGACACACACCACACCACACCACATAATACGACACGATACAACACGTCATGACGGGCGGACCCACCTACCGAGACACACACATCGAAACATCTATACCCACACCCATCCACACGCACACACACGGAAACACACACACACAGATGGGGCGTAGCGGCGATTTTGCTGACAGCCATGTCCCCAGCCACCGACCCATACACACATACACGTGCTCACCTGTACATACCATCCACGAGTGTGTGTGTGTGTGTGGCCGTCGTCCCTCTGGCCGACCTCTTCTCTCTTCCCGCGTCCGGCTGGCTGGCTGCCCTCTGTATCTCTCTCCCTATTCTTGGTGTCGATGGCCGGTTTTCACACCCATCGTCCACACACCTATGAATGCTTCTCTTCCCTCCCCTTGAAAGCACAGACAGACAGACAGACATTCCACATCTGTGCAGCCGACACACGCCATCAAGATTGTTGGCCGGTAGCTCCGTCCTTTCCATGCCACCATGTTCATGTTTGCACCTTTCCATGGGATGTCTGCATGCATTTGTGTCGGGGAGTGAGTGAGTGAGTGCGTGTTAATTAATCAATTGGTTGTGCAGATGGCTGTCGGGTGAAGTGCCTAGGTCAATTCCTATGCGTGTCTGTCTAGATGGATGGATGGATGGACGAATCGCACCGTGACGGACAGCTCCATGTGCGCGTGCATGTGTCAGTGGGACTCTTGCGTGTGCCTGCAGTTCATGTGTGTGCGCATGTGTCAGTGTGATCCCATTTCTTCAAGTGAGGCTGGTATTCCGGCCACCGTTCAATGCACCAACACGCACACAGTTGGTCGACTGACTCCTTGCATACCCCACACACATACACATACACATCCACAGACAGACAGACAGAGAAGCAGACACACAGAGAAGCGCTAGCCCCACCCACCCATAGCTGCCTTCATGCACGATTTATTGGCGTGACACGGCACGCCCACGACGCAGGCACGCAGGCAGATCCATCGGTCGCCCACTGTCCGCGTTCGGCACCGTAGACACACAGACGAGAGGAAACAGGGAGGTGAAATGGATGGCCGGACGGCTGACGAGCGCAGAGCAGTCCTGCTGGCGGCCACCGTGATGACGCCATACGTACACCCACGAGCTGCACAGCCACGTCCCATACACAGACAGCAAATTGATTAAAGCCGGCAGAGGGTCTCCATTGATTAAAGCCGGCAGAGGGTCTCCCGCTGCGAACAAAGCACCAAACCGACGAGCATTGCAAAGCGTGTATCGCGGCTCGCCTGCCCACCGATGCCGCTCATGGCGACGATGCCGGCCCATAGATTGGCGTCATCAATCAGACAGTCACTCTCGCTCAAGGCCTCCTTCCATCAAAGAGCCAAGACTGCACGCACCAACACAGCAAACAAAACAAACATCGCCCCTCTGCTTGCAGCAGCATCTCCCATTGGCTGACTCTCTTACACAGCAGTGCCCAGAAGAAGCGCACCTTGGCCAGGACATCAGGGAGATAAACACATCAGCCGACGCTGCTTGCCCCACACTCAAGGTCCGCCACAAGAAGAATCGCCAGGTAACTGCCAGGACGCTGTGTAATGGCCCTCCTTGACAGCATCATGGACACATGAAGGCGGACTGGGGCTGGAAGCTTGGTCGCCGGCAGCAACACAGACACACTTGACATGCCGGCTGATGCTGGGAGGGACACACGCAGCCGTCGATGGCGCTGCCTTCGTCCGTTGCTACTGCGTGTGTGGCCAGGTCGAGCACATGAAGGACAGATCTCCATGGAATGGCTCTTGTTGATGCTATTGGGCGAATGGCATCGATGTCATCGAGGGCCGGGGAGGCTGACCGGGGCTGCCGAGAGGGCGAGAGGATGACATGCTAGATCTCGCCGAGAGATGAACGATAACCTCTCAGCCGATAATGGCGCAGCCGATAATGGCGCTTCTCACAGGCACCCTCCCATCGCCAAAGACGCCAAAAGAGCCCGCTTCCCCGTTGCCTTTTTAAGCTCGCAGATCTCCCTCCTCAAAAATCAACAGGGGAACGCAGCCACCCCTTGTGGATCATCGAGGGCCGGCTGAGGTTGCTTGCCTGTGCCTTCTCCGCCTCAAATCGATGAGTTGACTGAGCGGCATCGTCGCGTCTATCCTTTCTGAGGCAGGCCAGGCAGGGAGAGGGCCAATTCGCCATCAGTGCCGCCCTCATGTGCTGTGTGTGTTTGTGCGTCAGGGAGGGACCCTGAGCATCGATTAGGTAGCCGCCGCCTCAGAGAAGGCCCTGGAGTTGTCATCGCTGCCTGGCTGATCAGATCTACAGCCCCAAGTAGTCTACAGCTAGCCATGAAGGAGGACGATCATAGACAGGTGAGGCGCATCACAGCACCGCTTGGCAATCGATGGCGCCTGTCATCTGAGGGGATGTCTGTGTGTGTTGGATGTATGGGTGCAGCTTAAGGGGTCTCGCCGGACCGACGTACCGGCAGCGTCTTCATCGGCTGCGTCAGCATCTGGCGGTGGTGGTGGTGAGAGCGACGAGGAGCGGCAGCGTCGGGCTGAGAGGGAAAGAGCCTTGTGCGACAAGATCAGCGCCACGGTGAGCCAGCCACACGCACTAAAGGCGATTCCGGCTGTATCTGTCAATGGCTGCGTGTGTTTCAGGAGGGCCTTCCCAGCTACATGATGGCCTTCCTGCCCATCAACCTGATGGTGCAGCAGGCCAAGTCCATCTGGCAGCACGCCGCACCCGAGCTCTCGGACGTCACCATCAGCTCGGCAACCAAGGAGGAGCGGTCCTTTTGGCAGCACGTCCATCTCGCCTTTGTCGCCCAGCTGGCCGCCCGACTCACCCGCCTCACAATCATCACACTCCGATACCCCGTCGGCTTCCCCAGCTGGTGTTTGGACGTGTTTGTGGCCATGGTAGAGGGCCACATCGCTGGCCGACGGGCAGCCGACCTGGGCGGCGGGACCCTGCACATCCTCACCATCCAAGAAGGGGTTCAGCTGAGCGGCGCGGCGAGGCAGACCGTCTCGAGGACCGACTCGCCCCTCCCAGCTCGTCTCCACCCGCCCCCCACCCTCCACGCGCTCACCACCATTGAGGGCCTGACCCACCACCATCAGGGGCTGGCCCCAACCGACGCTGGGAGATGCCCTCGCTTGGCATCGTGCAGCAAAAGGATTGGGAAGCCGGCACATTGGGCCAGTTCATCAGCTCGTCCCGCTCACTGCGGCGTGTGGACGGCAGCTTTGGGGGTGGGGTGTGGGCGCGTGTGTTTGACCGGATCCCTGTGGCACCGACGGGGCAGCAGGGGGGGCCACTCGCGCAGCTGGAGAGCATCGGCACCATCGTGGCCGATGACAATGAGGCGGCGGCCATAGATCGGCTTCGGGTGATCACAAAAGACGCACATGTACAGCGGCGCGTGTGGGTTGGCTCATGATGTCCTTCCTGTATGTGTCTGTAGTTGCCTTCAGGAAGTGCTCCTTGCGCGGGGCTGCCGACGGTCACTCGAGCAGCTGCACGTGCGCTTTTATGGCGCCCACGTCGGCCGCCGCACCCTGCCCGTGCTGCTGGCCCTGGACCGACTGGTCGGCACGTGCTGTCGACCAGACGCCCCACTGACATTCACCACTACCGGCCGTACCGGGTCCGACCTCTCCATCTTCTACCACCCCCACTTCCCCACCCGCCCCTCACCCTCATTCAAGACCATGCTCCAACAGCTGGCCCAGCAGGCCACATCAGTGTACTACATCTTCACTCAGGACGGCCTCGCCAACCCGCACGCCAACCCCGGCAAATCGGCCATCGACATCGCGTCCAGCCTCTCATTCGACGAGGCTGAGACGGTGGAGGTCCTGAATGCCGGCGGCTTCCATCCCCCGGCCAACACCCCCTCCCTCCACCCCACCATCATCACCCACCTACAGCCCTTCTCAACCCAGGCCACACGGCTGTGCGTCGCGAGCGGATTGGGTGGTGCTGTTGGCGAGCTGCTGGCCGCCAAGATGCCCAAGGAGGTGCGGGTGGTGGACGTCGAAAGGGGGTTGGGTGGTGAGGAGAGGGTGGGCGTTTTGGCGGCGCTGGAGAGGGAGAGAGAGGTGGATACGGTGGTGATGGGGGCGGCCGGGGTCGACCAGCTGGTGGAGGCGGCCGGCAGATTGCCGACGATCAAGTCACTAGACTCCAAGCTGCCAGGTATGCCGAGAGAAGAGGGCAGTGTGTCCTTCCCTCCGTCCTCATTTTTGCCTTGTGTGTGTTCCCTTCCCTTCAGTGGCCGACGATGTGGAGGATGCGAGCAGCCTCGTCCGCGGCCGCCTCTCGTCGGTGATCCCGCACATCAGGGGCCTGCAGGGCGTGCGTCTGACGGTCGAAAGGGCGATAGCTGGGCAGCATGATTCCATCCTCGCCTCCCTCCCTCTTGGCGCCAACATCGATGCCTTCAGCGTCCGAGGCATCGGTGGGTCGGTCGACGCCACATGGACGACAGTTACTGCAGTTCGCAATCCCTGAAGGTGAGAGGACGGCACTCAATTCTCCAGACGGGCTAATTGTCTGACCTCTGTGGTGGTGGTGGTGGTGTCTGTCAGGCCGGCTATTGTGTGTGGCGGATCATTGGTAGCGGACGGGCTAGCAGTGCGACTATTCTTAGCCGATGCATTCAGTCGCTGCCTAGCGTAGCTGCGGGCTGTCTGTGTCTGTGTGTGTGATGACTGACTGGGTAGTGTACAGATTGACAGACGGACGGGGGCTGCATGATGCTGGCGCGGGAGTGAGCACATCACACACACACACACACTCACACACACGCGCGCGCACACACACACTACTGTCGTGTGTTGTGGTGCTGGATGACGCACAGACGGTGCTGCATCGACTGACTGTCTCACTCACCCACTTGTCTGTTTGTCTGTCTGTCTGTTTGCCTGCCTCCTGGCCTGCCTGTTTGTATCGATCGCTTCTTGCTGCTGTCTGGCCCCTTCCTCTCCTGCCTCCCTCAGTTCCCCTCACCCATTGGTCGGGATGAGAGGACGGACAGCACAGAGGCGAGATGGGCGAGCCCAAGATGGTATGTGTGTGGATGCATTCGAATTGATACGACTGCGTGCCGTGGTGTCAATGTCTGTGTGTGTGTCGATCAAGAAGGAAGCTCAAGTCGGCCATTCGCACACCACCAAAAGACATTATTGAGTCCACTGCACCGCGAACAGCGCTACTCATTCTCTCGCTCACGCCTTTCCTCCCTCACACGCCTTGGTCACCTCCGCTTTGCTGGCCTCGGCGTAGAAGGCCCGCAGCTGGTGCTGCCTTTCCTTTATCTGCCGCTTGAAGTCGTGGGCGGCCGGGGGGTGGTGAGAGGACCAACTCAAACAATCGTTCGTCAACCTGGCAGACCGCTGCCTACCCATCGGACATCCAGGGTCCTCTGCGGATGCGCATCTTCGCTAGCGGGACCATAACCGGCGCATTGGTCTGTGATCGTGCTTCTGGCCGTGACGCACGCCGCCTCATTGTCCCGGCCGAGAGGGAGGAAAGGGAAAAGGCGAAGTGGTAACGGACAGCGGGCAGCGCCGCCGAGAAGGAGAAGCGCTTTGGGCTTGTCCGACCCTTGCCGCGAATTTTTAGCGCGTTTACGTCACCTGCTATGATTTCGCGCATCTAAGCGCCGAGCACTTCCTAAGGCCATCTGCAGCTGATCACAGCCACCCGACCGGCGCATCTCTGTCCACCTCTCCTCTCTGCGCGTGGGCGCTTGACGAAGGCATCTGTGTTGTGTGTGTGGTGATGTCGGGCAAAGGCAAGGGCGGCCGCGGCAAGACCGCCGAGAAGACCAAGAAGGTCAGCCGGGGGCTCGTGGATGGACGGATGGATGGATTTTTTCGATGGATGGGCATCATTTGTGTGATGTGTGGTGTGGTGTGGTGTGTCTGTGTGTTCCTCCCCTCCCCTCCCTCAGGTGCGTCAGGAGGTGCGTGCGGGTCTGCAGTTCCCCGTCGGCCGCATCGCCAAGTACCTCAAGAAGGGCCG